GGTGTCTGTGGTGACAGCAGTGGCTGCAGCTGTCGCGGCGGTGGCTGCGGCGGTGGCGGTGGCTGCGGCTCCGCTCGACGCCCGCCGCTCCTCTGCAAAGGTTAAGCAAACAGCGGCTCCCGCAGAATCGATGCCGGCCGAGCCCTCGGCTGTTTGCTTTGGCAGCGCGGCGCGGGGGCGGGTGGGCCGTGCTGGGGACGCCGGCAGCGGGGACGGGGACAATCAATGCTCCAGGTTTGGCCGGGGGTGGCTGCGCCCACCACCTCCCCTTGCTGTGGAACTCATGGAGGAGGATTCGGGGAAGGGCAAGGGTGGTCGGGCCAGGGCAGGGGGCTCGTGGGGCCGGCACTGTGCCGTGCCTCAGTTTCCCCTCCTGGCATTGTGGCAGACACTGCCCATAGGGCCACGCTTGGCCAGGGGGACAGGGACAGGGACCTGCCACCTGGCCCTGCCACCGTGGCTCAGCCCAGGCGTGTCTCAGCTGGAATTAAGACAGAGCTGGACACAACCGATGAGCCCAATGTCGGCCGCAATGACGAGCCTGGGGAGGGAGCGGCCATTTGCAGGCCCCGATGAGTTTGGCTGCTGTCCCCAAATTCCAACTGTGTCTTCAGGATGGGCTCCGGAAGGGGCCATGGGAGGGGGACATTCAGCTGTGGCAGGGAGGGCCAACTGTCTGCTGGCCTGGAAGAAGTGGAGGGCTGGTTGGTGAGCTGGGTGGTCGGTGGCCAGCTGGCTCCCAGGCAGTGAGTGGGCTCGTGGGACACCCAGCCGGTCGCTGGATGGGTCGGTGGCTGGGGTTGGGCTGGCTGGCTGGCGGGTTGCTTGCCTGGCCGGCCAGTTGGCCGGTTGCTTGCCTGGCTGGGTGTTTGGCTAGATGGCTGATAGGCTGGCTGGCCAGTAGACCACCAGTCAGGCTGCCTGTCCAGATGTCCGTCCGCTTGTCTGGCTAGCTGAGCCGCTGGCTGGTGGCCAGCCAGCTGACCCCGGGGCTGGCTAGCTGGCCAGGGCAGCCCCGGCCCCGGGGCCAGCAACATCCCGGCACGTCCCAGCCCAGCTCCGGGCACTGTCCCCCTCCCAGCGGGCGGAGCCCTGCCGCGGGCAGGGGAGGGCAAGGTGTGGGTGGCACATCCCCCGTCCCTGTCCCCGTCGCGCTGCCTCATTACGGACGCGGCGGGGCCCGTCACCCTCCCGCCGCGCGGCAATTAAGGGCTGCCAGCACCGGCGGTTAATTAGCGCCGGCCGTGAGTGCTGGGAGGCGGCGGCCGCAGGGCTGGCGGAGGGGACGGGCTCGGGGACGTGTCCCCCGGGGCCATGCGGTGGGAGTAGCCGGGATTTGGGCGGCTGGGCCCAGCTGTGCTGTCGCGGGGGTGCCCCACGGCCCTGGGGGCGGTGTGACAGGGAGGGGGGCGCAGTGACAAGTGGGTGCCAGCGATGGGGTCTGCAGGGGGTGGCACCGGGGAGTGTCCTGCACGGCGACGGTATGTGGCACCCCAGGCTGTGCAGTGACGGTGACAGTGGGTAACACCCCGTGGGCCATGCAGTGACAGTGACACTGGGTGATACACTGTGGGCCGGCAGTGACGGTGACAGCGGGTGACACCCCGTGGGCCATGCACTGACATAGCATTGTGTGACAGCCCCAGCACCAGGCACTGACGGTGACTCTGTGTGACAATCCACGGGAGCTGCAGTGACACTGCGTGGCACCCGGCGGCCCCACAGTGACAGTGACACTCTGTGCACCGCGCGGTGACAGTGACACCATGTGACACTCCGGGGAGCAACAGTGAAGCTGTGCAACACCGCAGGGCTGCGCAGCAGCTCCGTGAGACACGAGTGGGGCTGTGCAGCCGTGGTGACACTATGCGACACCCCAGGGAGGCGCGCAGTGACACTGACACTGTGCCACACCCCGGGGGCCGTGCAGTGACACCTGTGACAACAGATGCCGTGCAGTGACAGCGGTGACACCAGTGCCATGTAGTGACACCACACTCAGACCCCCGGCTTGTTCTCCCTTGTGGGTATGGAGGCGCCCACCCAGTTCCCACCTGGGGACATGCCCCGTGGGGGGACACCACACTGTACCTGCAGCTTCGTGAGGGGACATCTGACCCCACCCTCTGCCCCAGCGAGCGTGCCATGGTGGGTGCGCCAGGGAAGGGGGGCTCCAGGAATGGGGTACACCAGGGAAGGGGTGC